AGCACAGCTGAGCTGGGCGAGCAGATCGACAACCTGCAACGCGTGAAGCAGAAGCTGGAGAAGGAGAAGAGTGAGCTGAAGATGGAGATTGACGACTTGGCCAGCAACATGGAGTCTGTCTCCAAAGCCAAGGTAAGGATTTGCAGGAAAAAATGCTTGCAGGAACAACGTGTGGCACAAAAGCTGCCTCTTTAACACGCATTCCCAGAAACAAATTCCCCACTGTGACCACAATAAGGCAGAGTGCAGACCCTCATCTCTTTTCCTTTCCCATGTTTCCTCTCTAGGCCAACCTGGAGAAGATGTGCCGCACACTGGAAGATCAGCTGAGTGAGCTTAAAACAAAGGAGGAGCAGAATCAGCGTATGATCAACGACCTCAATACGCAAAGAGCTCGTCTGCAGACAGAGTCAGGTGAGACATCCTCATCCCAAAAGTTCAATGGCAGGACCTGCATGGCCTGGAGTGAGCCAGAGAGTACAAGGTGGCAGCTGGTATAAGCTCTCCAGGCCGTTCCAGGTTATGTGGCATTACAGGCAGAAGTTGTCATAGGAAGAACTATCAACTTCCTTTTTTCCCTTTCCTTTTCCAGGTGAATATTCCCGCCAGGTGGAGGAGAAAGATGCTCTGATTTCTCAGCTGTCTAGGGGCAAGCAAGGATTTACCCAACAGATTGAGGAACTCAAGAGACATCTAGAGGAAGAAATCAAGGTCTGGAACTACCCTACTGTCCACAGCCAACATTACCCCCAAAAGCATCTGCAGAATCATAACGGATGCTAGACTGCTTCTGTATTCCTTCCCTAAACACACATAGGACTGGAGGGAGCAGCACTAATGCACAACCCCTCACACTTCCACTAGAGAGGGAAGGAAGCAGGATGCTTTAGGTGCTGGAGGAAGTCATCCACATGAGGTCCTTCCCTGAGATTTTGATAACCCCCTCTAAGGCAGGAATCAGCCAGACATATCAGAAGATATATACAAACAGCAGACTATTATTCCAAGAGTCACTAATGTACCCTGATGTTCCAGAATATGTTAATAAGGGCTTCACCATCTCCAAGGTCTACATTTGCCCAATTAGAGTTTCATTCCAATTTCACTTTCATATTCACACTCAAGAGGCATTTAAAGGCAAGTATGCAAGTTAACCAAACCCAATATCCGCACAGGCCAAGAACGCCCTGGCCCACGCTCTGCAGTCCGCTCGCCACGACTGTGACTTGCTCCGGGAACAATATGAGGAGGAGCAGGAGGCCAAGGGGGAGCTGCAGCGAGCCCTGTCCAAGGCCAATGGTGAAGTGGCCCAGTGGAGAACCAAATACGAGACGGACGCGATTCAGCGCACGGAGGAGCTCGAGGAGGCCAAGTACGTGGGGAAGCAGGATGGCAAATGACTGGAGCAGACCGAAACTGGTCAAGGGAAATTGGAACCTCTGAGAGGGGGTTAAGAAAAGGGTGGGAAAAAGGCAAGAATATAATGTATTTGGAAAAAAAAGGAGAGAGCAGGAGGAAGAGAAAAAGTATAACTTGGAAGAGAAATTATAGGTTTTAGAAGTGCTAAGAGTCACCTGATCCTCCACAGGTGGTAAGACACAGCAAAAGATCAATCCTTATATATCTGTGAAAAGTGCTTGGCTCAAAACTGCCAAAGCGACAAACTGCCCTCTTATGACATTATAGAACTGATGCCCTTCCAAACGCAAATGTACAACTGTGCTTGTCTCCTCCCAGGAAGAAATTGGCCCAGCGCCTGCAGGATGCAGAGGAACATGTTGAGGCTGTCAATGCCAAATGTGCCTCCCTGGAAAAGACAAAGCAGAGGCTGCAGAATGAAGTGGAAGACCTGATGATTGA